GCCGTCGCTTACCGCGCTGAATCCCCGCGGCGGGGGCGCCGAGGCCGACGACCAGACCAGGCCGGACAGCGGCGCCGCATCGGGCGCGGGATCCATCCCGGGAGCCGAGCGCCTCCAGAGGGCGCGGACCGCTTCGGACCTCCGACGGCCGAGTTCCGACAGGAGCCGGACTACAACTCCCAGAAGGCCTTGCGAGGGCGGGCGAAGGCCTGTTGCGCGTGCGCAGAAGGCTGCCGCCCAATCGCGCGAGGCGGCGGCGCCGCGCTCTGACGCGCCGCCAGGTGCGCTGCGGCGACGTTTGCGGAAAAGGGTCTGGAAGTCTTTTCACGCCCGGCCACTTCCGCCGGGAAGGCGCGGTCTCGGCCGCCGGGACTGCATTTCCCAGGATTCCGCGCGGCGGCGGCCCCGCCCCCCGCTCCCGGGCGAGTCCGAAGGCAGAGGCGCTGCCTCTGGTCACGTGTTTCTTGGGTCGGTCGTGGGGCCCGAACGCGGGGCCTGGGCGCCGGCCGGGCCCCGGCTGCGGGTCCCCGAGGGGCCGGCAGGGCGGGATGCTGTCACACTGGGAATGGTTAACGCGGTTTAGCCGGCATCCTGGAGAGGTCAGAGGTCAAGCCTGAGGTAGCGCTCGGCCCCCCTGAACGCGTGTCCCCAGGCCCCCGAGCGGCCGTGCCCCGTGGCCTCCGCTTCACGTCAGCCAGAGCAGAAGTTATTCTTGGTTACTTGTTTGAAGTTTCTGCAGGTGTGTGTGTGTCGCTGTGTCCGTCCTGGGCCTTGAACTCGGGGCTGTGCCACTGCCCCTCATCTTTTTGCACTCTACCACTTGAGCCACAACTCCACTTTTAGGCTTTTGGTGGTTCAACGGTAAAGGTCTCATGAACTTTCCTGCCCAGGCTGGCTTTCAACTCGCTCCTCCGACCTCAGCCTTTGAGTAGCCATCTCCAGGACTTTCTGGTTTCCTCGGCGTGGGTGCATTTAGAAGGGCTGGGTGTGGCTCTGCACACCTGCTCTCCGAGGCCCCAGGGCCATCCCAGCTCTGCGTGCACTCAGTGAGCCAACAGCTGGCTTCAGAGAGGCTGTAGGAGGCGACCCAGAAGCTGCTCTGTCCCCCACCTGTGTCTGTGTCCTGTGATTGGGGCTGTTCCCACTGCAGGTCCTTTATCGGCTCCTCCTCTGCAGGAGGCAGAGGAGCCTCGGTGTGGAAGGAGGCAAACGCCCGGTGCTCAGGCCATGCCTCCTCAGTCTTAAAGCAAACAGCCCGAAACTCAGGAGCCTACCGGCTCCTGTCCCAGTCCACTAATAAACAGCCTCCGACTCCTCCAAGGACAAAGACGGAGCTGGTGGTCAAGCCAGCTACACCTGTGACCAGGCTGCGGTAACTGTGAGCCTCCCCACGCAAGCCCACCCCCCACGCAGGTCCACCCCTCCCCACGCACGCCCCCCCACGCAGCCCACCCCCCCCGCACGCCCACCCCCACGCAGGTCCATCCCTCCCCACGCACGCCCCTCCCCATGCTACCTGAAGCCCACGGTTGCACCCTGGAGAGGTGAGGACACACGCACTGTCTTCCCGTGGCTGCGCTGTGCGGAATCACCTCTCTCTGCCTTCAGCATTGTTAGGAAACTGAATCATGAGGGTGTCAGAATAAAGAAGAGGCAGAAAGTGAACTCAGCAGCCCAACAAGCTTTATTGGGGAGCAGAAGCTCGGGAAGGGCAGCCAGGCCTCCTTCAGGCTGGGGAGGAAGGAAAAAGGAGAGGAAGAAAGGGAGAGGAGGTGCGTATGTGAGAGAAAGTATTCTTTCCTGTCAAACCAAAGTGTATTTGGTAGTGTGTATTGATATTTCCTGGGATTGTTTTATTCACTGCAATTGTAACTATTATCTGTACTGCTTGTGACCAGCTAACCATGTTAGGGAAATACATCTTTATTTTTGCTGGTCCTGGGGCTTGAACTCAGGGCCTGGACACTGTCCCTGAGCTTCTTTTGCTCAAGGCTAGTGCTCTGCTGTTTGAACCACAGCACCACTTCTGCCTTTTTGTGAGTAGTTCATTGAAGATTAGAGTCTCACGGATTTTTCCTGCCAGGGCTGGCTTTGTACTGCGCTCTTCAGATCTCAGCTTACTGAGTAGCTAGGATTACAAGCGTGAGCTGCCGGTGCCTGGTAGAAGACAAATCTTTATCAAAGGAGTTTTAAAAAAAATAAAGCTGCAAGTACCAGGTGTGTTGCTTGTTAGGAAAAGTCTTATCGGTGAAGTTAAAAGGAATGTGAGTGGGAGCTTTCTGCTGACCTTCTCCAGCCTCCGACTCCCAGCTGGCAGGCACGGAAAGCAAGAAAAGTAACTTGAATGGGAGTGAAAGAAGGGCCCCTCTCTGCCCTGGTAATCAGTGGTGTCAGACTGTGAGCCTAGCTTCTTGACGGGGAGGAGCAGTTTGGGTTGGGATAAATCCTAGCCGACCGCCCTGCCCCGCATGCCTGCCCAGCTCCGCGTAGACTGATGGCATTGCACGCTTTTGCACAAAAGTAAATTGCCTCGACAACGTCTCCTGTGTCTCCTGTGTGTCCGTTCGTTTCTGACACCAGAGAATGGTGCATTTCCAACAAGAGTCCCCTTCAAGGACAGTCCTCCAGGGAACTGTCTCTGGTTCAGCACCATTTGTTGGGATGCCAAGTCACGAGTGTATCAGAATAAAGAAAAGGTGAGCAACAGGCTTGATTGGGGAGAGAAGCCTGGGAATGGCGCCCCCACCCCTTACAGTATGAGATGGAAAGAGTAAAGGCAGGAGGGCAGGTGGAGGTGGAGGCGGGTGGGGTGGAGGCTGGGTCGGGAGCCATGTTACTTTGACTGAGGCGTTTCAAGGTTTGCACAGCATCTGTGTTGGTCAGGGCGGCAGCATCAGCGGTGGTCTTGGTGTGGGCCTCTCCCAAGGCCCCTGGAGTGTGTTTGTTCAGGGGGAAAGCAGGGAGATGGCCCAGTGGGTGGCAGCGGGGACAGCTCTGAGCCCCACTGTTGGGGCTCAGTAATTCTTCATCGATGGCCTGTGGAGGTATGGGGCCAGACCTGAGCTGGAACTCCTGGCCTTGGGGTCTGTGGGTAAAGCCCACTCTCTATGCCATACAGAGTGAGAGAGGGGGTCACCCCCCACCCGCAGGGGTGCTGGGCTCCCTCCTCTCTGAGGAACATTCCAGAGCTTTGCAGAGCTACATGAATGAGGAGCCAAAGCTGGAGTAATTTGAGGTCCACACGGACAACACCAGAAACCGGAGGAGCCCTGGGGCTGTGCCGGGGGTGGGCGCCATAGGGGGCCCCTCCCCATAGAACCCTGTGGAAACAAGAACACCGAGTGGGGAAGGAAAATGAATCTGCTTCGCTTCAGTCTGCCTCACCCTGCCTCTGGCGGCCCCGACTTCTGCCTGGCAGAAGGGAATCAGCTGTGTGGGTGCCATCTCCTCCACAGCCAGGCTCTGGGGGAGGCCTGGTTGCACTTCCCAAGTGTACAGCTCGAATGAAACCCGCTGGTCTGCGGAGTTCACCTTCTGGCTCTATTCATACTCCACTTACTCAAAAAGTTTACTTACAATGGGAGTCTGACACAACAGTTCCAGCCAGGCACCGGGGCTCATGCTGTCCTAGCTACTCTGGAGGCTGAGGTCTGAGGATCGCGGTTCAAAGCCAGCATGGGCAGGAAAGCCTGTGAGACTTATCTCCAATAAACCACCAGAAAACCAAAAGCGGCGCTGTGGCTCCAGTGGTAGAGCGCTTGCCTTGAGCTGAAGAGCTGAGGGACAGCGCCCAGGCCCAGAGTTCAAGCCCACGACTGACAAAAAAAAAAAAGAATTTTATGCTGGAACTGCTTAAAGTAGACAGAGACTAACTCATGCTGTGTGTCCTGACTGTAGTGCACAGGCCTCTCTGTCTCCTTGCTGTTCTCAGCCATCAGAGGCAGTGAACTTGGCTCCCTTGGCCACCAACAGGAAGCCCTCCACACTGCACCCAGAACGGAGCCATGGCTCGGCCTGCTCCGCTCATTTCAGAGCCCCAGGTGGGGCTTTGTGAAATTTCCCTCTAAAAAGGGGGACCCTGCACTTGGGGGCTTAGTCCCAGGCTCCTGACTTCTGATGCAAAAGAAGCTGTTTTCCCCAGAATCTGCTTTTTGGGATACAAGTCTCTTTTTTCCTTTCTTGATGTCCTTTTTTTTTTTTTTTTTTGTCAGTTGTGGGTCTTGAACTCTGGGCCTGGGCGCTGTCCCTGAGCCCTTCAGCGCTCTACTGCTTGAGCCACAGCACCACTTCCAGTTTTCTACTGGTTTATTGGAGATAAGAGTCTCATTGACTTTCCTGCCCAGGCTGGCTTTGAACCTCGATCCTCAGATCTCAGCCTCCTGAGTAGCTAGGATGACAGGTGTGAGCCACCGGCACCTGGCGTGTCTTTTGGTTTTCAGAACACACTGGTGCCCTGGAGCCCGCAGGAAGATCTGGTGGAGGGAGCTGCTGGTCTTGTTTCCTGGGGCCTTGGAAGGAGTGTGAGGGTTCACACAAGGCAGACAGAGGGACTGGGAAGGTGGCTCAGTGGTAGAGCGCTAGCCTTGAGCTGAAGAGCTGAGGGACAGCACCCAGGCCGAGTTCAGGCCCCACGACCGGACCCTCCCGGCCCCACACACACAGCAGACAGAGCCTCCATGTTCCCACGGGCAGTGCTGGCTCTGACCTGGCTGGCCACGGCCGCCATGCCTCACTTTCCCCCACCTATCCTGCCCCAGGCCCGCTCAGCCTCCTTTCCCTGGACACGTCGGAACTCTTAGGGCCCTTGACTTGGATCGCAGAATCAGGACTTGTGGACAAGTCCCGGGGGTTAAGAACACGTGACAGAGCTTCCCTGAGTGCCTAAACAAGCGGGCAAGCAGACAGACACGCGCAAGGGCAGGGGCGCCCTGGCGGAGTGTGGGCATGCACGCAGCCCCTTGGGCCGCTGGGGTGTGGCTGGGCTGAGGCTGGACATCTGACCTCCATGCTGTGCATAGACAGGTGCTTTGCCTCGGCTCCATTCACACCTGGTGTGACTTCCTACGTTTCCAGGTGAGAGTGCACCCTGGTCCCTGAACTAAGAAGTGTGGGGCCAGCATGGGATGGACAGACAGACAGACAGTGTT